TCAAGTAGGTAGGTAAAGATATGCAATGTAATATTCTCCTAACTTCTTCATATCTGTTACCAATCATATTTATAGCCCCTTGCTCGAATATAGCCGTTTCTAGCCGTTGGGGGTCATTAAATGCTCTGCAGGACGCATGGCTCAAGTTGCAAAACTGTCAGGAGAGTCGGCTTAACTTTCTAGAGGTGGCTTTGTAGAGCCGGCTATCCGGGTTTGCAGGCCATTCTATTTTCCTCGAGAGCCGGCTGCAAGACTTTGAGCCGACTTTGGAATTCCGATTTTAAATACGTTAAAAACTTTTCAAAAGAGTCGACTGTTGTGCATTAAATGCACCCTCACAGCAGGCTATAAAGTTGGAGCCGGCTTTGCGTCTTTTCTCTGCGCGCACAAGTAACGGTCTTCAAATTTTAGCCTGTAGAGTCGGCTATAGCTTCCAAAACCGGCTCTCTACACCTCCATTTCACCAGAGCCGGCTGCAGCTTTCAAGAGCCGACTCTCTGCCATTTTGAATCCTTTTGGTCTATTTTTAGCACAATTCAAGTTTACTTGCAATCTTTTAGCAACTTAACTACACACTTAAATAAACCAATTAGTCATTCAACTCTGTTTTGTAATCATCAAAATCATAGATACAACAGAAACCACTGGAAGTGATGAGTTAGAAGGCTAGCCATTTCGAGATTGATATAGATTTTAGAAATAAATCCTGCTTTTGTAAGATAGATTTCACCTTGAATTTATGATATCAAAACGGATTTCAGTCATTAGATTTAAGTTATTGGATTGTCAGATGTGAATTGGATAAGTTCCAAGCCTTGTGCATTTGTGGGACCCTCTCACGAGTGCACGGCGTCTGTCGTACCTCGGATTTAGGTTCTGGGACGTGACAACAACCCATAAAAATCCAAATCTGATTTTGTTCCCATGGTTCCCATAAGTGTTTTGAAAATCGATCTAGAGGTCGAATCGTTTTGACCTTCGATTCTTGATTTGATCGATTTAACTAGTTCAATCGTTCAAACCGTCAGGTCAATAATTGAATATGAATAAATATAATATTATGCAATAGTTTGACAGTCACATGCAATGGTTCTATTGGTTTGTTACCTTCCCCTATTATGTAGAAGATGTAGGTTCGAGTGTTGATTGTGTTAAAATATTTTAACTTCTAACTTATAATATATTAATGGATTTTCACACATGTAAAATATACAACAAATGTAATTTTTTAATTAATTTATATAAAAAATTATAAAGGTTGACTTAAATTAATTAATTAATTAATTAATCAATTAAAATCATCTATATAAACATCAATTTTTATAATTTTTTATAAGAATTATAAATAAATGTAAAAATTTATATTATTATATCTCTAACT